AGAGAGACTTCCCCATGGCGACTCCTCATTTCGATCCTTTGAACGATGTCTAACGACACCAGGGTCAATGCTAGTCACATTGGGTTCATCCACCTCGCTTCTGGCGAGGGAAACATCGTCCCGCTTACCAGTCGAGGCGTCGACCGAATTCACTTTCACGCAGTGATGGAGAGCAGCCTGCAGAGCTTCGAGAGAGGCGATTACTCCTTCGCCGAGCTAGCTAGGACGCACAACATCGGCTTTACCTTACTCAGTTGCGCATGTTTGAGCTGCAAGACCACTTCGACTCCCCTTTGAGCAGCTTCAACCGCATCAGCGCGGACGACTTCGAAGACGAGCTGACAAAAGTGCGGAGTCGGCAACTCACCGCTTCCTTGACGCAGGGCGGAGAGAATATGACGTTCAGTGTAAACGACTGCTCCTTTTACTTTCCAATGGCTTTCAGCCGTTCACAAGTCACCCAAGGAACCGTCATCTTCCGGGAGACAAATTTTTGAATCGATGCAAACAGCTCGTGCGTCACGTTCACCTGCATTGCTGGTGCCGACCATGGCGTCGAGGCTTGGCGAGCAATCTTCACCGCAATCAACATCCGCGTGCAAGACTTTCTGGGTCTGTGGCATGACGTGAGCTTGACCGCAATCCAAAATGAGAGCTTGGCGGATATCGTAAGCCCTACGACTGGCTCGTTGATCCGCTTCGCCATGCTAGACATTCTTGCCGCCACCTCGGCTGTCCTCAATGATCGAGATCCAACACAGACCGAGTTGCCGCCAGACATAATGGCAAGGGCTCAACGCTTGGAAACGATCGCAAGTTGGGTGCCCCTTCATCTTATCCTGATCTGGGCAAAGCGGGTGTGGCCCGATGTTCAGCGGGCATGGAGTATCCAGAACGATCCTGCTGGAGGCGCGGAAGTCTTGCAAGCTTACCTGCCCGAATGTATGCCTCGATCGATCATGACCAAGCTGCAGCATATCCTCGACGACGAACAAGTCACTATGCTGGCTGGCTTGGCTGATTTGCAAATTGGTCCTGAGGAAGCCTTCCCGGAGCTGATGAGAAAGTCCAGACTTTGGTACCGCCACTGGTGGGAAAACCGTGCCAGATGCAACGCGGCTAACGGGTACTACACAGACGCCTTGAAGGCTTACGCAAACACTACACACGCGGCGCTGCAAGCCCGCCAGCAGTCCGGGAGCAGGTCTGATTCGCAGCGTGATCTGGACCTTCAGCAGACGGTAGCCATGTCGGAATTGCACGAACGGATGGTGATTCTGCATTTGGTTATCAATGTAGCTCTCTACGCCCCTGCACCTTGGTGTACGGACCCGGACAATGGGTTGGTGCCGCATGTTATTAACGGCGCCATGGCGGTCAGCCTCGGCGTTGGCACAGCCCTGTGGTGGACTGGCGCGGGCGCGCTGGTGGGTTTTGGAGCCTATCTCGGTCTGAGTGCGGTGAGCATCATTGCCACCGAGTTCGGCTTAACCTTGGACAATACCACGCGCAAGGAAAGGTACGAAGAGCTACTTTGGCTCTGTACCCGCTATGTCGGCGTGAAAGAGGTTCTGATATCTCAGCTATGCTCCCAGGCCGAGCCCGGTGAGGCATTCGTCAAGCTGAATGAGGGTTTAGCAAGAGACTTGCATCCCAGATTGAGGGCGTCGCCATTTCTCCCCACCTGGCTAGGCTGCGTCTCGGAGATTGGTCACATACGGCAAGAAACGAACGGGCTGGTCAGGCTGGGCACCTTGGGCTTGACACGCATAGGCAAAAGCTATTTGCTCACTTGCGTCTTTGGCTTCCCGTACAACAACTTTCACGCTGGCGCACACGATGCGCATCGAACAACAGGTTTGCGTGTTGCTAGGACCGCCGGGAATGTCGTGGT